AGAAGCTCTCTCTCTCTCTCTGTCTCTCCCTTTCTTTCTGTAACTCTTTCAATAAATAAAATAAATATTTAATAAAGAAATAAATTTAGAACACATAGCAATAGCTACGAAAACCATTAGGCAAGCAGCTCGCTCGGCCTGGTGGCGGCAGGAGGGAGCAGTGCCCTGAGCGAGCACACACCAAGACGAATGCCTGCGCTTGTGAGGAGAGGAGGGAAGCTCAGAGGGGTGAGGTCCTTATGCCTGATTCACTCACAAGGCCAATGCAGCGTGCAGCTGGGGCTGGCTGTGGAGCTGTGCCCCACCCCACCCCAGCCCGTGAGGCGGAGATGTGGCTGAGGGCACAGATGGCTCTGAGCGCTTCCCTCTCCTCCAGTTTAGCACACCTTGGCTTGCTGCCCTGCCAGTGTCTCTCAGTGAGCTGAGACTGGGCATAGGCTGGCCCGGGGGGTTCTTGTCCCGGCCACACTGTGCCCAGAAGACCCATACCACCTGTGAGTTTTCTGTCTGGAGGGTCACTCCTGGGAAGTAAAAGACTGGAAATGGGGGCCAGCGCTGTGGCACAGCAGGTAAAGGTGCTGTCTGCAGTGCCCGCATCCCGTATGGGCGCTGGTTCAAGTCCTGGCTGCTCCACTTCCAATCCAGCTCTCTGCTATGGCCTGGGAAAGCAGTAGAAGATGGACCAAGCCCCTGCACCCGTGTGGGAGACCAGGAAGAAGCTCCTGCCTCCTGGCTTTGGCCTGGCCCAACCCCTGTTCTTAAAAAACCATTTGGGGAGTAGACCAGCAGATGGAAGATTGTGTGTGTGTGTATGTGTCTCCCACTCTCTCTGTGACTCTGCCTTTCAAATAAATAAATAAATAAATATTTTTTAAAAAATAAAAAATCAGGTTTTTTAAAAATTTTTTTTAATTTTAATTTTTTTTTTTGACAGGCAGAGTGGACAGTGAGAGAGACAGAGAGAAAGGTCTTCCTTTTGCCGTTGGTTCACCCTCCAACGGCCACCGTGGCAGGCGCGCTGCGGCCGGCGCACCACGCTGATCAGATGGCAGGCGCCAGGTACTTCTCCTGGTCTCCCATGGGGTGCAGGGCCCAAGTACTTGGGCCATCCTCCACTGCACTCCCTGGCCACAGCAAAGAGCAGGCCTGAAAGTGGGGCAACCGGGACAGAATCGGCGCCCCGACCGGGACTAGAACCCGGTGTGCTGGGCGCCGCAAGGCGGAGGATTAGCCTAGTGAGCCGCGGCGCCGGCCAAAAATCAGGTATTTTAAAAACAAAAGCCTGGCAGTGGGGAAGTGAGTGAGCATCTGTTCTCAGAGACGCCGCCCCCCTCAACCCCCGCTCTCCTCACACCCATCTCCTCAGTTAACGTGGAGTTTGCAGTGAGGGAGGATTGGTAATTTCTTGGATTTGAATGGACTTAAATATTAATGAAGAGCTTTCTTCTGCATCGTCACTTCTGATTCTCATCTCTGTCCTATGAGCCAGATAAGGGTTACATTTTCACTGGATTCATTAAAAAAAAAAAAAAAAAAAACACTTAGAAGGGACGGCGTTGTGGTGAGCAGGTTAAGCCGCTGCTTGCGATGCCAGCATCCCATATGGGCACCAGTTAGTGTCCCGGCTGCTCCACTTCCTACCCAGCTCTCTGCTAATGGCTTGGGAAAGCAGCGGAAGATGGCCCAGGTGTTTGTGCCCCTGCCACTCATGTGAGAGACCCGGATGAAGCTCCTGGCTCCTGGCTTCAGCATAGCCCTGGCTGTGGAGGCCAACTGGGGAGCGAACAGCGATGCACAATCTCTTTTGGGGCCGGCGCTGTGGCGTAGCGGGTAAAGCCTCTGCCTGCAGTGCCGGTTTGAGTTGAGCTGATCCTCTTCTGATTCAGCTCTCTACTATGGCCTGGGAAAGCAGTGGAAGATGGTCCAAGTCCTTGGGCCCCTGCACCCACATGGGAGACCTGGAGGAAGCTCCTGGCTCCTGGCTTTGGATTGGCGCAGCTTCAGCCATTGAGTCTGTTAGGAAACTGGCACAGTTTTATCTACGGTGCGATCTATACCCCAGTTCCCGCTACCATTGCTGGAAGCCAGGTAGCCACAAGGCCCAGCTACCTGTGCCAAGCTCCACCTCCATCCTAATGGGATTCGCTGCTCCTGCTTCCCTGCCCGTGTCCTCAAGATTTAAAAAGGCCTGTTCCTGAACACTTGGCTCTCTCTAGCCTCCTCTCTGGCCTCTTGGCTCCTCTCTGCCTTGGCTCCTCTCATCTCTCTTCTATCTCTTCTCTCCTTGCTAGCCCTTCTCCTTTCTGTTTCTCTCTTATACTCTCTTTTCTCTCTCTTTCCCTTCACCGCTCCTTCACTCCGGTCTGTTGGGTGTTCCCCAATAAACCCTTTCCCTTACTCTGGCGTGTGGTGTGTTTTGTGATGGCAACATTAATATATAACAGCATCCATCTGGGGAGTGGACCAGCAGACAGAAGGCTTCTCTCTCTGCCTCTGCCTCTCTGTAACTCTCCCTTTCAAATACATAAATAAATAAATCTTTCTCTCTCTCTCTTTTTTTTTTTTTTTTTTTTTTTTTTTTACAGGCAGAGTGGACAGTGAGAGAGAGAGACAGAGAGAAAGGTCTTCCTTTTGCCGTTGGTTCACCCTCCAATGGCCGCCGCAGCAGTCGCGCTGCAGCCGGCACACCGCGCTGAACGAAGGCAGGAGCCAGGTGCTTCTCCTGGTCTCCCATGGGGTGCAGGGCCCAAGGACTTCAGCCATCCTCCACTGCACTCCCTGGCCACAGCAGAGAGCTGGCCTGGCAGAGGGGCAACCAGGACAGAATCCGGTGCCCCGACCAGGACTAGAACCCGGTGTGCCGGCGCCACAAGGTGGAGGATTAGCCTATTGAGCTGTGGCACCGGCCAAATAAATCTTTCTTTCTTTCTTTCTTTCTTTCTTTCTTTTTTTTAAAGCTTTTTTCTCTCTCTGTAACTCTTTCAAATAAATAAATAAAAATCTTAAAAAAATACACATAGGTCACCTACAATATGCTGGTATCCTCACTTGGCAGATTTGAAGCCCACTCAGAATGACCTCTTGGCTTGTTGGAGGTCACCGAGCTGTTTAATGTGGAGTGGGTGTGTGATGTAGAGGGCAAGACTGAACCCAGCACTTCCCAGGCCCTCGCACGTGGGATGCAGGCGTCCCAATCCCCAGGCCATCATGGTTATTAGATCAGGTAGAAGTCCATATCCACCCCCCCCCCCCCAGGACTTCTCCCACCCATTTCCTACAGGCTCTGCCCCTTCCAGAGCTTTCTACACAGGGCTTCCTGCTGCTCCTCTGAGAGTGTAGCTCTGCTCCTGGGTGATGTGCTGTGTTCCGGCTTGCCCAGATAGAAAGAACCAGTGAGACTCACCGAAATGCAAAAAACAAAGAGCCTTTATTTGTAGGTCCAGCATGGGGGGTCCCTGGCCTCCGGTGCAATGAGACCAAGACCCCCTTCTCTTTGTTCCTGGGCAAACAAGGCCCTGCAGGACCAAGCCCGGCCCACCTTATTGGTTGCCTCCACCTGGTCCTGCCAGACCAAAGACTGCCCGGTGTCAGGTTTCAGCACAGCAGAAGCACCCTGGGCCTAGCCAGTTTTTTGTCTTGTGTGAAGCCTGTCATGACGTGGCTCTGGGCTCTCACAATGGGAATATATATATATATACACACACATATATATATGATGTATTATGATGTATTCATTTATTTGAACATTAGAGAGAGAGAGAGAATCTTCCATCCACTGGTTCACTCCCCAAATGGCCTCATATTGCTGGGCCAAGTGGAAGCCAAGAGCTTCTTCAGGTCCCCCATGTGGATGGCAGGGACCCAAGAACTTGCGCCATCTTCCACTGCTTCCCCAGGTCATTAGCAGGGCGTCGAGTGGGAGGTGGTGCAGCCAGGACTCGAACTGGCATCCATGTGGGATGCCAGCGCTACAGGCAGCGGCTTAACCCACAGAGCCACAGTGCCCCACGTCCTGTTACTGAGCTGTGGGGATTTAGGAGGGTTAATGGAGGAAGAGCCAAAGTGGTCAAGCCAGGCATGTATGGTTGAGGGGCCTCGTTATAGTCTCACTTATAGTTATAAAATTCAGCATTTTATATTCATTGCCTCTTGATTTTGTCCTGATGCAACTGATGAAGAAAGCCAAGAAATCAATTGGACCGAGGGTCACAGCTATTAAGTGATTTCCCTGAGTTGGAGAACTAATTAATGTCAAAGTTGACCCTTTTTGTAAAAAAAAAATTATTTATTTGAAAGGCAGAGCTACAAAGGAAGAGGGAGAGAGAGAGAGAGAGAGAGAGAGAGAGAGAGAGAGAATGAATCTTCCAACCGCTGGTTCACTCCCCAGATGGCCTCAATGGCAGGAGCTGGGCCCATCAGGAGCCAGGAGCTTCTTCCAGGTCTCTCACATGTGTGCAGGGGCCCAAGGACTTGGGCCATCTTCTACTGCTTTCCCAGGTCATAGCAGGGAGCTGGAGCGGAGGCTTTGTCGCCGAGCCGGCCCCCAGTTATACCAACCTGCCACGCCGCTGTGCAGGAATATAACGAAAATGGGAGCGGAGAGTAAGGCAACAGCCAGGAGGCAGAGCGGGGGCGTGGGCAGCTGGTTCGCCGCCAGCACTGCCCCCGCCCCCGCCCGGGGGCCTGCGTCCGCTAGGCTGACAGCCCTTGCACAGCCCTTTCATTGGTCGTCCGCCACAGAACCCATGCTCATACGAGGGCAAGCACCCAATCAGCGATGCTCGTCTCCGCCCAGCCGGCCCACGCTAGATCGCGCTGTTTCTGTCCCCCCCGTGGCACGCCGGGAGTTGTAGTCTAATGTCGCGTCTCTGCCGGCGAAGGAGGGAGATTCGGAACTACTCCACCCAAAGGGCTGAGCGCGGAGCGTGTTCGGCTTTTAGGAGTAAGCCGCCAACAATCTGGCTCAAGCAAGAACCCGCATCCAGGAACAGGTGAGAGAGGTCGCGTGCTGGGACTGGAGGCGGAGGTCCGAGACCCGGCCTTACTTCTCTAGGGATGCTGTGGGGCACGGGAAGCCCAGTCTGTTGTGCTGGGGTCGGTGGCTCAGCCAGCCGGCCCTCTGGCTGTGCGGAAACTCCCGAACTTCGCCCATGTGTTTTCCTGACACTGCCCACCATGTCGGACCTGGGTTTACTCCTGCTGCGAGCCCTCCCCGCCCGCCCAGAGTTGCTCCGAGGCCATCTGCCCAAATCCCAGCGCCTCCTGCGAGGCTCGGGATGCCCCGTGCTCGCGCTCCACCGCTTGTGTCCGCAGCACCCATGGGGCGTAACTCAGAGCCTGGGCACCCCGCTTCATCGTCTGTCTAGGAAGAGCTGGCTTCTAGATTTGGCAGTGCTTCTGCCCAGCTGCCCTCTTAGCTCCTAGGCCCCCCAGTTTGGCTTCTGTGTGATTTAGGGATCCTCTTAACCCTAGTCCTGGGGTGCCGCGCTCTGCACCCACTCCTTCTCCAGCCTCGTGCACGCAGCCTTCGATTCTAACCTTACTCCTAAGTGGCTATCTGTTGGGTCCCAGTCACCAGCCCTACTTTTTGTTCCCTGAAATATCCTTTCTGTAGTTATTCCCAACTTTTGCCCCCAAGGGGGCGGGGCGTTGTGGGCCAAGAAGTTTAAAAGGTTGGTGGGGGTCTTCCAGGAGCTGCGACCAAGCAGCTGCCTTCGACCAAGCAGCTGCCTTCGGTGCTTGCCCCTGCAGGGAGTGCTCGGTGCCCCCACCCCATGCCACTCCCACGATGCCCTTGTCCCGCTGGCTGAGATCTGTGGGGCTCCTCCTGCTGCCAGCTCCCTGCTGGGTGCCCCGGGAGAGGTTGCTGGGTTCCCTACGGAGGCCCTCTCTGGTGCACGGGTACCCGGTCCTGGGGGCCTGGCACAGTGCCCGATGCTGGTGCCAAGCGAGGACAGAGGAGCCCCGGTGAGTGTGGTTGGGGTGAGGGGTCTTGGGGAGGGGAGCACCGGTCGGGTCTCTGACTTGTTCTTCCCTTCTTCAGAGCACTTTGCTCCTCTCTCATAATGAACGGAGACCAGAAGCCAGATGCTTACGCCCAAGAGAAGCAGGACTTCATCCAGCACTTCTCGCAGATCGTCAGGGTGCTGACCGAGGAGGAGATGGGGCACCCGGAGACGGGCGACGCTATTGCCCGTCTTAAGGAGGTGAGGGAGGCGTGACTGGAGCACGTGAGCCACTGGGCACCCTGCCCTTGTGTGTGGGCTACAGCTGTGGCTTTTGGTTCTGGACAGAGAAAGGAGGAGGCTTTTTAGGGGTGGCTTTGGGCAGGGCTGTGTGGGGTGCCTGTTTCAACCTGACTTCTGGCTGTGGGAGGGGATGGGCCACCCACACTGCTCTGCGTGGAACCGGGTAAGGCTGTGGTTCAGTGTCCTGGAGTCGGAAGGGGACAGCCAGGGGAGGAAGGCGGGCTGGGGGGTCCTGTCTCCCCTAACCCGGAACCCCCCCCCCCCCCAGGGTGATTGCTGTGATGCTGAAGTTGCCTAATCGTTTGCTTTTGTTCCTTTGGAGTGTCTAGTAAAATTCTTTCTCTAAGCGTTGTCTGTCTCGTCTCTGAGGGGACCCGAGGGAAGGCGGGGAGGGCTCTGTCCGCGTGGAGATGGGGATTGAAGGGGACGTCGGCTCCGGGGCAGAGCAGAAGGCAAAGTGAGACCCAAGCACTGGGCAAGGCGATGCAGCCAGAGTGCGCCTGGGCACGAGGGGACCCGGCCGCTGTGCCCATGACTTGGGGGAAGGCAGGGGAGCAGCTCCCTGGAGGAGGAGGTGGGGTTAGGGAGGAGAAAGGTAGGTGGGAAATGGATCTCCAACCTGGGTCCCCTCCAACGCCTCCTCTGGCCAACTTTGGGGGGCCTTGTCTTTCGTAGGGAGGGAGGCTTTCACTGCAGGTGGGCTGAACTCTGGGTAGCAGGTGTAGGGCAGAGTGGTGAAGGGGAGGTCCAGGGACGTGGGGATGGGGCAGGGACCTGAGAAGGAGGCCTGAACAAAATGCGTGCTGAGCATCTCCTGAGTTCAAACCCCGTTTAGGGTTGGGGAGCAGCATTGAATCCACTATGGAGCCTGGGCACTGGCTGTCTCCAGGACTTCAGGGAAGGAGCCAAGGGAATAGCAATTCCAGGGGCTCCCTGGAGGAGGCGCTGGGGAGGCTACAGGAAGGGGGCACTGGAGAATGGGGGAAGGCAGGGAGAACCTCAGTTGGTGTCGTGTGGACTCTGACGCCCTGTCCCTCCCCCTCGTTGCCAGGTCCTGGAGTACAATGCCATTGGCGGCAAGTACAACCGGGGTTTGACGGTGCTGGTGGCCTTCCGGGAGCTGGTGGAGCCACGGAAGCAGGACGCTGAGAGTCTCCAGCGGGCCCTGACCGTGGGCTGGTGTGTGGAACTGGTGAGAGGGGCTTCCGAGAGGAGGGCGCAGGGGCCTCGTGTCTGTGCTTCTGTGCCTCTCGTGTGCTGGTGCCAGTTTTACCTAGGGGATCACTCCCGGGGTTAACAAGCGGGGGCACCCTCCTTGGTCATCAGCTGTATAAATAAGTGCAGGTAGACGAGAACCTGGCCTCCAAACCTGCCAGAGAGGCCTCAGCTCTGTGCTCGGAGCAGGAGACCTGCACTGCGTTCCTGAATGCCAGGCCTTTGGGGAGTGAACCACTGGGGAGTTCTGTCTGTCTCAGAAAATCTGTACGTGCTTGTAAAATCTGTTGGGTCACTCCCCAAATGGCTGTAACAGTTGAGGCTGGGCCAGGCCAGAGCCAGGAGCTGAGAACTCCATCCAGGGCTCCTATGTGTGCTACAGGGACTTAAATACTTGAGCCATCATCTGCTGCTTCCTAGGCACATTAGCAGGAAGCTGGATCAGAAGCTGAGTAGCCAGCACTCAAAGCAGCACTCTGATAGGGGATGTGAGCGTCCCATGCAGCGGCTCGTCCTGCACGCCGTGATGCCCTCCTCAGTGGAGTTCTTCTGCCGGACTGTTCTAGAGCAGAGATTCAGGATTGGTAGCCCTTGGCTGGCGCCGCGGCTCACTAGGCTAATCCTCCGCCTGTGGCGCCGGCACCCTGGGTTCTAGTCCCAGTTGGGGCGCTGGATTCTGTCCCGGTTGCCCCTCTTCCAGGCCAGCTCTCTGCTGTGGCCCAGGAAGGCAGTGGAGGATGGCCCAAGTGCTTGGGCCCTGCACCCCATGGGAGACCAGGAGGAAGCACCTGGCTCCTGGCTTTGGATCGGCACAGTGCCCCGGCTGCAACGCGCTGGCTGTGGCGGCTACATGGGGGATGAACCAACGGAAAAAGGAAGACCTTTCTCTCTGTCTCTCTCACTGTCTAACTCTGCCTGTCCAAAAAAATAAATAAATAAATAAATAAATAAATAAAAAAAAAATAAAAGAATTGGTAGCCCACTGGTAGCTTTTGAAAACGTTTTAAAATTAAATCCCCTGGGGCTGGCGCTGTATAGGCTAAGCCTCCACCTGTGATACTGGCATCCCCCATGGGCGCCGGTTCAAGTCCCAGCTGCTCTACCTCCGATCCAGCTCTCTGCTATGGCCTGGGAAAGCAGTAGAAGATGGCCTAAGTCTTTGGGTCCCTGCGCCCAAGTGGGAGACCCAGAAGTTCCTGGCTCCTGGTTTCAAATCGTCTCAGATTGGCCCAGCTCCGGCTGTTGCAGCCATTTGGGGAGTGAACCAGCGGGTGGAAAACCTTTTTCTCTCTCGCTCTGTCTCTGTCTATAACTGCCTCTCAAATAAATGAATACAATCTTAAAAAATAAAAATAAAGTCCCCTAAATTTCACAAAGAAGAGATTTTGGGGCTGTTGTGTGGCACATCAGGTTAGGCCACCGCCTGCAACACCAGCATCCCATATGAGTGTTGGTTCAAGTCCTGGCTGCTCTACTTCTGACGCAGTTTCCTGCTGGTGCGCCTGGGAAAGCCGTGGATGATGGCCCGACTGCTTGGGCCCCTGCCTCGCACGTGGGAGACCTGGATGGAGCGCCTGGCTTCTGGCTTTGGCCTGGTGCAGCTCCCATCTTTCATGGCCATTTGGGGAGTGAGCCAGCAGGTGGGGGATCTTGCTTTCTGTCTTTTTCTTTATCTGTCTGTAACCCTGCCTTTCCAATAAATCAATCTTTAAAAAGGAAAGAAGAAGTTTCACTTAAAAACCTAGGTTTCTGGCCTCTCCCAGGGAAGTGCAGGATCTGCGCCGCGTTCTGGGTCGAGGCTGCCGGCCCAGTGCAGGCGTGCTCCTCGGCGTCTGCCTCTCCTCCGCTCGCTCCGCACTCTCCTGTCTTTGAAGCTGTAGTTTGCTGGCCCTGCGTAAAGGCTTCCCAAGCAGCGGGGGGCCTGAGTTTCAGGAGGGGGTGCCAGGCCCGAGGCGGGCGGGAGTGAATCCGGAAAGGATGGGTACTGGGGGTCCGGTGAGTGGTGGATGCTGCTGGCCTCCTGGCCCGAGGAGAGGAGCAGCTGGCTTGGAGCACGTGCCAAGCTCTGTCAGCCACGCTGTGTTCTTGGCCCCGAGGCTCTCTCCTGGAGCTTGTGAGTGACGTGGGCTGGAGACGGGGTTGGCCCCCAGGCAGGTAGCAGGACGAGGGCCCTGGATGATGGAGACATGCCTCTCGAGACCCAGCGGGCTGAGGAGCCCATAAGCTTGGAGATGACCGGCCAGGAGAGCAGGGCAGGAGGGGGTGGGCGGGGCGGGGCGGGGCGAGGAGCAGAGCTGGGGGCCTGGGGCCATACCTGGCTGCTCCCTGTGTACCCTGAGGGCTGCTGGACATGGCTGTGATGCCATCGCCTCCTGTGCACCCCATCAGCTGCGCGCTGTGCTTTCTACATGGGTGATGTTAGGGTTCTGCTTCTGTCCTCATTTTCCTCTTCCTCTTCTGCATTTACTGCCTAAGTAACCACAGTACCGGCTGCACAGCCAGGCTGTTTCATGGTGATATCATAGCATGTGGCAGATATTCCACAGATATTTCACATTCTCCCTAGGTTCCTCTATCGCTATTGTTGTATGCATCCAGGATCCAGTGCAGGGCGGTGCGTTGCATTCGGTAGTCTTTCTCCATTTTCTTTTTAAAAATTTATTTATTTAGGGGCTGGTATTGTAGCATAGTAGGTAATGCTTGCCGCCTGTGATGCCAGCATCCCATATGGGCACCAGTTCCTGTCCCGGCTGCTCCACTTCCAGTCCAGCTCCCTGCTAATGGCCTGAGAAAAGCAGTGGAAGATGGCCCAAGTGCTTGGGCCCCTGCACCCACGTGGGTGACCCGGATGAAGTTCATGGTTCCTGGCTTCATGTGGCTCAGCTCTGGCCATTGTGGCCGTCTCGGGGATGAACCTGTATGGAAGATTTCTCTGTCTCTCCCTGTCTCTCCGTACCTCTGACTTTCAAATAAATAAATAAATGCATCTTTTAAAAAGTAAATATTTATTTGGAAGGCAGAGTGACAGAAAGAGAGGGAAAGACAGAGGTCTTCTGTCTGCTTTTTCACTCCCCAAAATGGCTGCAATGGGCATGGTTGGGCCAGGCAGAAGCCAGGAGCCAGGGGCTTCATCCAGGTCTCCCACGTGGGTGCAGAGGCCCAAGCACTTGGGCCATATTTTTTGCTTTCCCAGGTGCATTGGTGGGGAGTTGGATTGGAAGCAGAGCATCTGGGACTCAAACTGGCACTCCAGTATGGGGTGCTGGCATCGTAAGTGGTAGCTTACCCACTGGGCCGCAACACTGGCCCCTTTCTCTGGTCTTTAGTCCAGAACATTCCCTCTGCCAGTCACCTCCAGGCCAGGTGTTTGGTGTGGATGGATCTGATGATTTCCTTGTGGAGACAGCTGGGCCACACGGTGAGGAACACATGCTCCCGTGGTGATGCAGGGGTCCCCCCCCCCCCCCCCCGCACATCCCGGGGAGATGCGGCCCCTCAGTGCTGAGGGCCTGCCCCTGAGGCTCCCGACTGTCCCACCCGCGAGGTCTCTGGCACTGGCACTGGTAGTTCTCTTTCGCAGCCCCTCCCCCAGTGAATAGCAGGTGCAGGGGGTTCACCATCACTGCTGGGGCCCTGGAGGTTGAGGGGCCCCGGGTGGGCTCTCTCGGATGCTGTCTTTGGTTGAGTGGTTGTGGCTGACGCTGCCCTGTGGTCGCCCGTGGGTGGGCGGCTCTTGGGGAGCATGCCACTCCAGCGTAAGTGAAACCTGTGCCTCCAAATCCCGAGGGCCCCCGCTGCCCCCTCTGGGGTGAGGTCAAGTAAAGGCACACGTGGACGCCTCCTTCCCCGAGGACCTGGCCCGGGACAGTAGTCGGGGTGGCAGTGGCCCTCTCCACACGGCCTGCACCTGCTTCCTCAGCAACACGGACCCACCAGAACACACAGTCAGGAGGGGGTGAGGTTTTAAAGAAACCAGGTCCTGGGGCCGGCGCTGTGGCGTTGTGGGCTAAGCTGCCACCTGCGATGCTGGCATCGAGTCCTGGCTGTCCGCTTCCAACCTGGCTCCCCGCTAATGCGCCTGGGAAGGCAGTGGAGGATGGCCCAAGTGCTTGGGCCCTGCACCCATGTGGGAAACCCGGATGAAGCTCGTGGTCCCTGGCTTCTGCCTGGCCCAGCCCTGGCCATTGCAGCTGTTTGGGGAGTGACCAGCAGATGGAAGCCCGCCCGCCCTCCCTCTCTCTCTCTCTCTCTCTCTCTCTCTCTCTGTGTAACTGTGTCTGATCTCTCTGTCTTTCCCGATCTCTGTGTAACTGTGTCTCTCATATAAATACATCTTAAACAAACAAATCAGGTCTGGAAAAGCTGCTTAAGGAGCATGTCCCTGGGCTGCGGGACGTGTCCTGTGGTTGTGAGTGGCCTTCTGCTCTCATTTCCTTTCTTTGAGAGACAGCAGTGAGGCCCTCCCTCCCCCGGGGACGGGTGGGGAAGCCACCAGGTTAGGGTCCCTTTGGAAGAGGTCAGAGATGTTTCAGACCCAGGAGGCAGATTTTGGTGCCCTGGATTAGACCCACCCCTCTCACTGAGTTCCTGTAGGGAGGCTGTCCTGGTCAGAGGCCTGGAAGCAGGGCTGCAGTGGTCCCCTCAGGGAGCCTCCTTTTGTTAAGTCACTTAGCACGAAGCAACCTTTACGCCTTCTCTCAAGGCAGAGTGCATCTCAGGGCGCTTTACTCTCCCTGAGGCTGGGCTAATCCCGCGCCGATCAGAGATCTGTTGTCTCTTACCTGGGACAGCAAGGTGCGTAGCCCTACTGCGTAGGTAGGGAGGCTGAGCCAAAGAGGCCATGAGCTTTTCCAGAGCCCACAGTGCAGAAGTCACCAGCTGGGCCCCCACCCCGCCACACCCCTTTTCTGGCTCACAGCAGCTTTGTCCTTCCTAGAAGGAACATTCTGGAACATTCCAGGGAGCCCTCAGGGGCTTACATCTCTCTTGGTTTTCCTAGCTGCAAGCTTTCTTCCTGGTGTCAGATGACATCATGGATTCTTCCCTCACCCGCCGGGGGCAGCCCTGCTGGTATCAGAAGGTAATGCGGGCTGGCCGGGCGGGAGGCTGCAGGGGGCGGGGGGCGGCGGGTGCCGGCCGAGGCGGGTGCCAGAGATGGCTTGCTCATTTCCTCCGCCCCTCCCAGCCAGGCATAGGTTTGGACGCCGTCAACGATGCCCTGCTTCTGGAAGCGTGCATCTACCGCCTGCTCAAGTTCTACTGTCGGGAGCAGCCCTACTACCTGAACCTCATCGAGCTCTTCCTACAGGTGTGTCTAGGCCAGGGCTGCCCCGGTGGTCTCGGCCTCCGAGGACGTTCCCAGCTGCAGGGCACGGGAGATCCTTAGGTGGCCTTCCTGGAAGGGAGACCTCGAGGGAGTTGGGAGAGGCGAGAAGGGTTTCTGTGGCCTTGTGGGACTGGAAGAAGGGGCTGGGGTGGATAGGTGCTTGAGGGGCTCCCCACCCTGCAGCCTGATTCTGCCCACTTGTCACTGCGCTGGGACCTGGGACTCCCCCAAACCTGGAGGAAGCCCGGCTCACGGGCTGTCTTCGTCTTCCTTAGAGTTCTTACCAGACTGAGATTGGGCAAACCCTGGACCTCATCACAGCGCCCCAGGGCAGTGTGGACCTAAGCAGATACACTGAAAAGAGGTGGGAGCCGGTGGCACCCATTCTGGTCGAAAGGGAGGGCTCAGGGTGGGCACCGTCCTTCTGAAGAGGTCATCTCGTCCCCTCCACAGGTACAAATCCATCGTCAAGTACAAGACAGCCTTCTACTCCTTCTACCTCCCCGTGGCCGCGGCCATGTACATGGTGAGCGCGCCCCCTCGCCCTCCTGGCGTGCCAGTGGGGCTCTCGGCCGGGGTGACTGGACAACCTGCGGCCTCCACCAAATGACTGGGCCACCTCGAGGAGGTCACTTAGCCTCTGCTTCCTCCGCCGTGCTGTGGGACAAGAGCCCTGGCTCACAGGCCTGTGGCGATAACCAGGGCGAGGTGTGGCCCGAAGCAGGGGAACAGGGGCAGGAGTGTGTGTAGTAGGGGGACTGTTCAGTCACGTGGGCGAAGGCCAGGTCCCAGAAGGCCTTGCTTCTCCAAGTGCTCTTCACCCAGGAGGAAACTGGAGGTGACACAAAGGTGAAGAACAAGAGGGGACCCAAGTGACCTGGGAGCTGGGAATTGTGAGGGCAGAGTGAGTCTGAGCGCCCTCAGAACTGGTCTCCCAGGAGTGGCCGGGAAGGTGGACTGTCAGTCAGGACTTCCGGGTCAGGGAGGCCGAGGACGTCTGAAGGAGGTGATCTGAGGGCCACAGGAGCACCAGAGCCCGTGGAGGAAGCGGCCAGGGAGCTGGAGCGCCTTGGGGGTCGGCTCCTTAGGCTCTTCCCTATCCAGGCAGGCATTGACGGGGAGAAGGAACACGCGAATGCCAAGAAGATCCTGCTGGAGATGGGGGAGTTCTTTCAGATTCAGGTAGGAAGGCCAGAGGCAGTGGGGGGTCCGGCACCAGCTTCCTCGCCCCCCCCCCCCCCAGCCGCCTCATTCCTCCCTGCCTGCCCCCGCCAGGATGATTACCTCGACCTCTTTGGGGACCCCAGTGTGACCGGCAAGGTTGGCACCGACATCCAGGACAACAAGTGCAGCTGGCTGGTGGTCCAGTGTCTGCAGCGGGCCACCCCGGAACAGCGTCAGATCCTGCAGGTGCCCGGGAGAGGGCCAGGGCAGCCGGGAGTCTCACCCCGGGGGGTGGGTCTCACCCCTGGGGGCCATCCGGCAGGGTCTGCAGGTGGTCGCTGTCGCAGGCTGCCAGTGTCCACTGGGAGCTGCTCCTCCTTGCACAGTGCGCAGAACAGCACCAGCACCCCCAAAAAAGAATGATCTGGCCCCAAAGTGGCGAAATTCGAGGGCAGAGGAAGCTGAAGCCCCAGGCAGTATCTGACCATTTGGGCTGGGGCAGGGGGCAGGAGTGGATGTTCTCGAATCCGAATGAAGGGTGTGGAGAGCTGGAGGCCGAGGGTAGGTAAGGCTGAGCGCAGTCTCCCCCCCCCCCCCCAGGAGAATTATGGGCAGAAGGAGGCCGAGAAGGTGGCCCGGGTGAAGGCACTGTACGAGGAGCTGGATCTGCCGGCCGTGTTCTCGCAGTACGAGGAGGACAGCTACGGCCACCTCATGGGTCTCATCGAGCAGTACGCTGCGCCCCTACCCGCGTCCATCTTCCTGGGGCTAGCGCGCAAGATATACAAGCGGAAAAAGTGACCTGGAGGCCGCGAGGGAGGGGAGAGGAGGCTGTCAATAAATTATTGTGTAACCTTGTGGTTCTGTGCGTGCTCAAGTCACCTGGGGCCCGGCTGTGTCGGGGCGGGGGCGAGGCGGCTGCAGGCTGGCTCTAGGTGGGTGACACAGGCAAGACGTCAGGCGCGGGGAGGCGGGGCTGGGCTACGCCACGCCCATGCGCGGAGGGGTGCGGCTGCGCAGCGGAGCGGGTTGGCCCAGCGCCCCTCCCCTCCCCTCGGCTCTGTGCCCCGCCGGGCGGGGACGGTGGGAGCCGCTGACCAGCCCAGGGCCGGAGCGGTTCCAGGAGGACCCTGGTGAGGAGGGCTCGGCACGTGGGATCGACCGGGGCTGGCGGGGTGGGGCAGGCCAGCGGGAGTATTAGTGAATAGCGCAGGGGTGGTGGGTGGTGGTTAGATGATGGAGATGAGCGAGAGAATGGACAGGCGACCTCGGTAGCGAGCCGGGTAAGGGCGTACGGAGGCTGCAGGCTGGAGCCGGTGCAGGGCAGCCTGCGGATGCAGAGTTGACGTCCTGACGGCTTCTCTGTCCTTCTCCCCCTCCAGCCCCCGCCCCTTTCCTGCATTAACGGGGCTTGCCCTGATCCCCTCCGGCCCCTCCCCCCCCCACTGCTTTTAAGACCTTTTGGGCGGGGTCTCCCTTGGCCCCTTCCTCTGAGAGGGAGGTGTAGGCTGGAGGGAGGGCAGGGTCAGCTTGCTGCAGCAGGGCCGGGGGATCCATTCTGGGCTGCATCTTCTTCCAAGCCTCTGCACCCCCACGGGGCCGCATTCTCTGACCCTCCCGCTCCTTTCCTGGGGCGGGGTGTGTGTGTGTGTGGGGGGGCTTGTACATTCGACTCCACCTGCAAACACTGCAGTGGAAACTAAAGGCCAGTCGATGGCGATTTGCATCTTATTTAAATATCTTCCAAAGCAGCCAGAGTCAGTCACCTCCGTGTCCTTCCCCGGCCCTTGCCCTCACTGGCTGGGTCTCACCACCCCCGGCTTCTAGGTCTGCATTCTGCGGTTGCCAGGTAGGTGGATGTGAGAGGCCGGATCCTCCCGGTTTAGAGGCCATCGCGTCGCCGCCGGCACCATGCTGTCCCCTCAGAGGGCTTTACTCTGCAACCTCAACCACATCCACCTCCAGCACGTCTCCCTAGGCCTGCACTTGTCCCGCCGCCCAGAGCTGCGCGAGGGGCCCCTGAGCACACCCCCTCCCCCGGGAGACACTGGGGGCAAGGAGAGCAGGGGCCCCTGCAGCGGGACCCTGGTGGATGCCAATTCCAACAGCCCAGCCGTGCCCTGCCGATGCTGCCAGGAACACGGGCCAGCAGCCTTAGAAAACCGGCAGGATCCGTCTCAGGAGGAGGAAGGGGTGGCCTCTCCCTCGGACCCGGGCTGCTCCTCCTCTCTCAGCTCCTGCTCTGACCTGAGCCCGGACGAGTCGCCGGTCTCCGTCTACTTGCGCGACCTCCCTCGCACCGAGGATGGCCACCCGCAGCCCAGCATCGTGCCCCCGGGGCAGGGCTCCCCACTTGCTGCAGCAGGCCCTGGGCCCTGCTCCCCGGACAGCTTCTGCTGCTCCCCCGATTCCTGCTCAGGCACCTCCTCCCCACCCGGCCCTGACCTGGACTCCAACTGCAACGCCCTGACCGCCGCCCAGGACCTCGCTTCCCCGAGCCTGGAGGACGAGGAGGAGAGTGGGGAGCAGGACCTTCCCACCTCTGAGCTCTCGGAGGCGGAAGATGGGAAAATCGATGTTGGGAAAACGGAGCCCAGTTGGAAAATCAACCCCATTTGGAAAATTGACACAGAGAACGCTGAAGCTAGATGGAACCTCCCCGACAACAATAACTCTGGTTGGAAAACCAACGGAAATACTAACTGGAAAACGGAACCTGGGAAATTCGACTCTTGTTGGAAAACCAACACAGGACTAGCTGATTCCGGCTCGCAAACAGATGCAGGAAAAATTGATGGGGGATGGAGAAGTGACGTCAGCGAAGAGCCGGCGCCCCATCGGACAATCACGTCCTTCCACGAGCTGGCCCAGAAGCGCAAGCGGGGCTCGGGGCTGCCCCCGGTGCCGCAGGCCAAGAAAGATCGCAGCGACTGGCTCATAGTTTTCTCTCCGGACACCGAGCTCCCCCCCGCCGGCTCGCTGGGCGGCACCTCGGCGGCTCCGCGGGAGGTCACCACCTTCAAGGAACTGCGGTCCCGAAGCCGGGCCCCGCCCCCGCCCGTGCCCCCACGAGACCCCCCAGCTGGCTGGGCCTTGGTGCCGCCCCGGCCCCCACCCCCGCCCGTCCCTCCCCGGAGGAAGAAGAACCGGCTCGGGCTACAACCCATCGCGGAGGGGCAGCCCGAGGAGGGCAGGGCGGCCAGCCCCGCGGCTGGCGAGGAGGCCCCAGCCGCGAAGGAGCCTGAGGAGCCCGGCGCGCAGAGCGGCCTCGAGGGTAAGAGGCTGCAGGAACCGGAGAGGAGGGCTGGGCTTCGGCCTCGCCCACTCCTCCCGAGCTTCCAGCCCCGCCCCCTGTCTCCATTCTGTGTCACTCCCCGCCCCCTCCACCAGGGAGCGCTCCGGGAAAGGGAAACCGGGCGGGCCCTTGGGCTACGGGACTAACTCTCTGCTCCCTCTTTCTCCCGCCCCTCTTTGCCTGGCTGCTGGCCCCGCTGCCCTCCCTCCCCTCTGCGCCTGGCCCCGCCAATCCTGCCTGCAGCCGGTCCCCTCCTACTCCCCCGACCCCTGGTTTTCCGGCTCTCTGCCGACGGGCGCCCCCTGTTGGCGGGTGAGGGCGCGGGCGCAGCTGGGTCCCTGCTCCTTGCGCCCCTGGCCCGGCGGCCGGGCGCCGGGCTGCGGTTGCTGGGGGCGCCGAGCCCCCCAAAGGAGCAGCTGCTGCCCGTCCGCCTGTCCCCGGTGGGAGCCTACTCGCCCCCGACGCGGGGGGCCCTACCCTGCCTGGCCAGCCCTGAGCTGGCACTGCTGCTGTCCCCGCTCTTCCCCAGAAGTAGCACCTTCCCCGCCGCGGCTCCCCCGCCCCGCCAGGTACCCGCCCCCCCGCTGTCACCGCCACCTCGTCCGCCGAAGGCCCCTCGCTGGACCAGGAGCCCGCCGCCTCCGCCCAGGCTACGTAAGACGGTGGCGGGCGAGCCACGCCGAAGGAGGGGCCGCCCCGCCCACCCACAGCCCGTCCCACCCGCGCCGGACCCTCAGTCTGGTCTTTTCTCCTGGGTTACCCGGCTTGGTCCCACCCTCCAACTTGGGCATTCCGGCCAGTTCGCTGGTCCTGGGCCGTGTGGCCTCGCCTGGAGGCGCGGCGGGGGTCGCTGCTCTTCCTGCTGCCGTGGCCCGGCGCCCCTCCCTCCAGGCCTGCCCTAAGCAAAGTGGACATGGCTTGCCCGACCTCCAAGCCCACTTTAGGGCGCGTCCCATACATGGCTAGGGACCAGGAGTCGCGCCCTCGGCGGAGTTCTTCCCGCGCAATTCGGGCTGGATCCCCCTCCCTCCCCGGCCCCCATCCCTTGCTGGGAGAGGGCGGAGGGCGAAGCGCCCGGGGGAGCTCATTGGTCCAGGAGGCTCTGGCCACGCCCTCCCGGCAAGCCCGCCCCACGTGGGGCGAAGGAGGCGCTGGACTCGGGGATGCTGGCGTGGGCCCCGGGTTTCCCCTTTCCGGCGCCTTCCAGCCCCCCCCCCCCCCGACCCGTGGGTCTCCCCTTCCCTCGCCCCGCCTCCCTGTCCCGTCTGTCTGTCTTTCCATTGGTTCGGGCTGCCCACGTGCTCCCCGGGCGCGGGGCGGGGCCGGGCCCGGGCGGCTCGCTGCGGGCCTCCCCCGGGGTTCAGGCCCCGGGCGGGCGGGCAGGCGGGAGGCGAGCGCGGTTCTCCTGCCGCACCGGGGCTTCGGGGTTCAGGAGGTGGGGAAGCAGGGATCGGGGACCGGGGCCGGGCGGCGAGCGCCGGGACGCGGGGGACACTTCGCCTCGGGGGCCCGCGCCCTCCCCCGTCTGCACCAGACCCTTCAGGGGCTGGAGCGCTGCCGACCCCGCGGGAGATCACCTGTGCGGGAGCCCGGAACCCTCGGGTGACCTTTGGTAAGTGTCCCCGCGTCCTTCTTCCCTCACCCCAGTCCGTAGTTCCTGGTCATTCGCCGGTGTTCCCCGGGCCCAGCGGCTGTGGATGGCAGAAGCCCGGAGCGGGACCGGCCAGCTGCAGGAGCAGAAGAAAGGTAGGGCACCCCGACTGCGCACCCCTGCTTCTCAGCGAGCCGCGCCTCCCGGAGCCCCGCCTTCGGGCTGTCAGGGCCCTTGGCGCGTGGCGGGGAAGAGACAGGGGGCTTCGATGCGTCTTCTGCCCCCCGCCCCGTCGCAGGTCTCCTGATAGCCGTCAGCGCCTCGGTGGACAAGATCATCTCGCACTTCGGGGCGGCCCGGAACTTGGTTCAGAAGGTGAAGGTGGCGGGGGAGCCTGCTGGGGGCTCAGAGCGGGGGCGCAGGGACACTGGGCGGGAGGTGGCTGCAGTGTCTCGGGCCCCTTCCGCATTGCGCCGCCTGCAGGCCCAGCTGGGGGACAGCCGGCTCAGCCCGGACGTGGGGCACCTGGTGCTGACCACCCTCTGCCCGGCGCTCCATGCCCTGGTGGCGGACGGCCTGAAGCCTTTCCGGAAGGACCTCATCACCGGGCAGCGCAGGAGCAGCCCCTGGAGCGTGGTGGAGGCCTCGGTGAAGCCAGGTGAGCGGCCGGGGCCGAGGCCGGGCCGGGCTGCGGGCGGGGCGGCGCCTCGCTGACCGCGCCCTTGTCCGCAGGCTCCAGCACCCGGGCCCTGGGAACCCTGTACAACCAGGTCTGCCGTCTGGCGCCGCTGAGCAGCAGCCGAAGCCGCTTCCATGCCTTCATCCTCGGCCTCCTCAAGTGAGTGTGGCCTTTCCCCACTGCCCCTTCGAGGACCTGAGGCCCGCAGGGGCATTGCGCGGGGGACCCCGTGGGGGGGCTACGGCCCCGCCTCCTGGGGAGGACCAGCCCCTCCTCCTTGACCTCCCTCCCCTCCTCTGCTCTCCAGCACTAAGCAGTTGGAGCTGTGGTTTTCCAGTCTGCAGGAAGATGCAGGTAGGGGGCTGGGGATGGGAGACTGTGGGTTGCTGGGCCGGGACGGCGGGGAGGAAGGAAGGGATCCTCTTCCGCTGCTTCCGGCCTGTCTTGGTGTCCTGCTGAGACCTTCCGAGCTCCAGGTGCCTCCACCAGCAGCCCCTGCCCCAGGGCCCTGCGGCTGCCTTCACCCTGGGCCACCCCTGGGCCCCGCTCAGCAGCTCATGCCTCCTTTGGGCCCTTCCCCAGTGAGGGTCCACTTGCGTCCAAGCTCCCAGGAGGCCGTCCTCCCCATGTCGTGCGTGCTCCGTGGGCCTCCTTTCTGCCCCTTCACTCTTCCTTGGTTATCTGCCACCACCTGCTTGCTCCCTAGGCCATGGGTGCCCAGAGCCAGAGATATGGCCGCCCTGCCTTCCAGCATGAGGGCGGTGGCCCGGAGGGAGTTTGGTGGGCTGATGGGGGAAGGGCGTGCCCCTGGGCTGATGCTGGCCCGCTCTCCTCCAGGCCTGTTGTCCCTGCTGTACCTGCCCACTGGATTCTTCTCCCTGGCCCGGGCCGGCTGCCCGTCCCTGTCCACAGAGCTGCTGCTGCTGCTGCAGCCGCTGTCGGTGCTCACCTTCCACCTGGACCTGCTCTTTGAGCACCACCACCACCTGCCCCTGGGCCCGTCTCAGGCCCCCGCCCCGCCGGGCCCACCCCCAGCCCTGCAGCAGACTGTGCAGGCCGTGCTGCACTGGGGGGGGCGGCTGGCCCAGACTCTTCGGGGGGCTTCCGGGGAGGCTGCTGCAGATGCCTCGGCTCCTCCAAGTTCCTCCGCCGCGGGCAGCTGGTGGGAACAGCTGACCCAGGCCTCCCGGGTCTACGCCTCCGGGGGTACCGAGGGCTTCCCTCTGCCCCGGTGGGGACCCAGGCGTCATAGAGCTGCAGCAGAGAGTGCGCACGAGAGACCCCTGCCCACGGAGGAAGCGGCACCAGGCAGAGGCGTGTGGCTCGGGAGGCTGTTTGGAGTGCCTGGCGGCTCCGCAGAAACTGAGAGCGGAGCCCTGAAGTCCAGGTATTGGGGTACCTGCTCCCTCTGTGACCTTCTGACCCAGTGAGGTCCTGTGGGCCTCCCTGAAAACCTGGAGGTTGGCCATCTGGTCCTCTACAGCCTCTGGCTAAAAGCCTTAGCTTCGTCAATGGTTACATTGTACAGGTTTGTAAAGAACCTGGCTAAGGTTCTGGACTTTACCCCTTGATCTTTTTCCTATGCGGCCCTGTAGATTAAGAACACGTTTGCCTTAGGTACTGTGTGAGCCTGGGACCTCACTGGTCCCGTACAGACCCTGCTGGTTCTGCAGGTCTCTTGTGCCTTTTGGCGTTAGACCTTTGCTGCCCTCTCCCCGGTCACCCCAAAGGTGGCGGTGTCTCAGCTGCCACCCCGCCCTTAGTGACCGGCTTCCTGCTGCTTCTGACCCGCAGGCAGGCCCCGCAACCGCCCCCTCTCCCCAAGTCCCTGGGCTCCTGGGTTGTGTTCCTGGAGGTGGGGTGGCCTCCGTGAGCTGTGCCCCTCCCTGCAGGAGGCCGTCCAGCTGGCTGCCCCCGGCTGTGAGTGTGTTGGCCCTGGTGAAGCGGGGGGCCCCTCCTGAGACGCCCGCTTCTCCCGAGGAGCCCGAGGCCCCGGTGCCCAGCCTGGTGCAGGCCCACAGGTGAGGACGGGCACGATGCAGCGGGAGCCGAGGCTTTGCACAGAGCAGATGGGAGGCGGCCTAACAGTCTGGGCTTTACAAGCAGACAGCGCTTGGTTTGCGTCGCATCTCTGCAGCCCTGGTTTCTCTGCAGTACTTGGGTTGTAGTTGCTAGGAAGGCCACACCTGGCATGCAGCAGGTAGGTGAGTGCAGACGCATGGCTCATCCCGTCAGTAGAGGCGTCTCATTTGGCCCAGGGGCTACTTTGGGTCTTGTTTCTTTTGGGTTCTCTCAGGCCATTGAATTAAGCGTCTTGATGTTTCCCTGGTTCACCGACACTTTCCAAGTATTGTGTCTGGCGGGGCCGGGGGAATACAGAGGTCAAGACGCTGGGAGTCCAGGACTCAAGGCGCTCACGGTCCGGTGGAGACATAGTGGATAAAGGAGCAGTTAGCATCTGTGTATGGTAAAGACTACGAAAGGAATCCGGAGCCCTCTGGGGCCATGTGCACAGGGCTGAGGCCTGAGGCCCTCCCGCCCAGTGATGGCAGAGGAATGTCCGTCTGGCAAAGGAATGGGAGGCCCACGCATGCTGAGTGAGAAACTGTGGGTACGCAGGGGCTGTGGCCGGAGTGGAGGAAGCCGACGGTTGTGCTGGTGCGGCGGCAGGTGTCACTGGGCCAGCTGCAGAGCCCTGGGGGAGTCCGAGCCAGGGAACGGCGTGCTTGCTTGTGTTTTACAGCGATCTGGATGCAGCTGGGGGAGGCAGGCCGAGAGGTTCCTGGAGACCAGTTAGAGCACAGCTGGGGAGCGGAGAGAGCGTGGGTACAGAGGCCGGAGCCCGGCTGGCTGGTGCAGCAGAGGTGGGGAGAGAGTGGATGAGGCAGTTGGCGATGCAAACAGCGCCTTTTGGTGATGGCGGTGGCGGCAACCCCTGGGTTTCTGTCAGCAACAACTGGGCAGAAAGCTGTGCCCTTCACCACTGCAGGGGATGCAGGAGGGACCAGTTGGCAGCTTCAGATGAGTCACTTAGTTTGTGTATGTTGAACTGGAAGCGTCAGGGACAAGCGCGAGCAGCGTCAAATACGCAGATCAAGAGTGCGTGTGGCCCGGGAGAGGGCTAGGCCCAGCATCAGCGGGTCTGTGGACGGCCTCCAGAGCCCGGTCCATGCTCACTGAGCTGAACTAGCAGGCGCGCTCTGTGCAGGGGTGGGGGCGAGGCCTGGGGGCACCTGCACCTCCTTTCATCTCAGCATCTTCCTCTGGTCCCCACAGGACGGTTCGGGCTCTGTGTGACCACACCGCTGCGGGCCCTGACCAGCTGAGCTTCCGGCGTGGGGAGGTGCTGCGTGTCATCACGACGGTGGACGAGGACTGGCTGCGCTGTGGGCGGGACGGCTCAGAGGGGCTGGTGCCTGTTGGGTATACCTCCCTTGTCCTCTAGCCCAGGGCGCGCCCCCTGCCTGCACGTTTCCCTCCTGCCATCTGGGAATGGAATGGCCTGTGAACACTGATCCACGACAACCAACCACCCCAGAAGCCTCTTCCCTGTCTGCAAGATGACAATTGTTCCCACATGCACTTCTGCTAAAAATATTTAAAATATTTAAAATAAACTTTCCGTCTTCCCTCCCATGCCCATCTGTAAGGTGAAATCTGCTTTTCTTCCAAATATATAACAAGGAATTCCCCTCCATGAACCCCCTCCTCTTTCCCACCTGCATATGGGAGCGGCCCCCTCTCTGCGACATGGCCGTCTGTGGGCCGCCCTCTGCTGCCTTCCTCCCCAAGTGGACTGTACCAGTGTAGTACGCGCCCGGCCCCTGAGCCCGAAGGGCCTCTGGTCTCCTTCCTGTGTATGGCATCTTCCCCACACTCCTCCCCTCATGTCGCCTGTATTGATGTCCTACTCACGCTGTATGAGGTGCTGACGCCTGGACACCCCTGGCGGGTGGGCCTGTGGTGGTCTGCCCCTTTCCCTTTGTTCCAATAAAGTGTGGGAGTTGAGTGCGTGTCCCTGTGGCTTTCGGGGCTCTGGCTTGGGGGACTTCCTCATTAATCTGAATGTTCTCTGAGGGATGTGGAAGGGAGCCCTGCTTGCTGCCTGAATCTCAAGTGCTGCTCCACGCTAAGATTTTAGTGCTGTGTTAAGACTGATAGAACCCTGGACAAATATGGGACCCAGGATGGGGGCAAGGAGGAGGAACACTCAGCCCCTGAATTGTGCTTACTCGATTCATTATCTGACACTGAAGGAAAGGATTAAAGAATTCCAAGAAGTGACATTTCATTGCTCCTACTCGGGTGATGTAATTCCAAGTGAGCAAAGTGACGTGCCGTCCGCTACTTGACAGGTGAGTTTCCTTTCAATCTCTGGAGTAGCAGAGATGCTCTATGGGCTGGGCATGGCAATAAAGGAGTTTCTAGACCGCAGAATCCAAAGCCAGAATGAACCAGCAGCAGGCAAGTCAGGGGAGGCTGAGAACTACGAAGTGACACAGGGCAAAACTCAGTTGCCTTTTATTTTAGGGAACTTGGTTGGAGACAATGGGCTGATGACAGGGGAGGGGACTTGGGGACATATTTGGAGAAATCTTAAGAGCCAAGGCTCTGGTAGCACTCGGGAGCAAGGCCTCGTTCTACTTCCGTCATTTTCTAAGACTGAAATCTGCCTCATCCCTGGCTAATTCATGTTATTCAGCTGTTCCCTGCGTTAATTTTGCTTTTTGTGTTTAGCCGTCCTTCCAATTTTATTTTTAAAAACATTCGTGAGAGAGATCCATTATCCTTCCATCTGCTGGTTTACTCCTCGAATGGAGGCGACATCCAGGTCTCTCCCGTGCGTGGCAGGCAGGGCCCAGTGCGTGGCCGTCTCCGCTGCCTTCTCAGGTGCAGTAACCGGAAGCTGGACTGGAAGCGGGGCAGCTGCCAGGACTTTGCCATGGGATGCTGGGGTCGAAAGTGGCAGCTTAGTTCTCTATGTCACAGTGCCGGCCCCATCTCCTGATCTGAGAGCTCAGTTTGCATTTCAGGTGTTTTCTAGGGTGACGTTTCTCAAGCAGGGAATGACTTAGAGGAGCCCGAGTTCTCCAATTTATAACGGCATTTGCAAATAACGACCATAAAAGTTGTATTGCTGTACACAGCATCTCAGGTGACGTAACAGTGGATGGGGGAGACTGCTGCTATTTGACACGAGGACCAGGATTTCTCAGCGTGAGGTCTACGGAGTAATTTTGGAGGTCCCATGATTCCTAAAGTTTCAGGAACACCAAGAATACAGCTTTTACTTCCCGTAACTCAACCTGCCCGCTCCTGTCCCCATGGGCTTGGTTTTAGAGCGGCTGATTCTAGTGACTGGGAAGTCCTAGAGCGACACTGTGGGGTCAGGGAGATCTGACCTGATGTGACATCTGCAATCGCAGGACATGGCTCGCAGGTCTGTGCACTGGCAAGAGAGCAGGAGCAGGGAGACCTCCCAGAAGAAAGTGAAATAGACCAAATAAAAATGTACATAACGTTTACTTTTGGAATATTATTATATATTATCTAGAATATGACAGCTACAGTAGATACCAAAAGTTAAAAAATCACGTTAATTTCTGTTTACAGTTGTGGGAAGGCTGCTGAGGTAACAGGAGCAGAGACTGCATGCTCCCATCGGCTGCCTTGCTGGTTCTGAGGACTGTCTAGCCCATGGTCTGGGGCGGTCTGTTCTTCCCGTTAGGGCGCGAGTGGGCTCATCTCCCGTGATGATTGAGTTGCTTTGACAATTTCCTGAGCGCAGGCCCTGGAGCGCCAGTTCCAACACTAGCAATCACGTGAGGGTTAGCAAGTTAGTTAGCTCCGAGCTTCCGCCTTCATTTCTCAGAATGGTTACTGGCCTCAGAGAGGCGCGAGGGCTGACTGACCAGCTATGTGATCTTGGGCAAGTGACTTAACCACTCTGTTGGATTCAGTTTCCTCATCTATAAAACTGAATTTGGGGACCTACCAGAAAGGGATGTTGTGAGGATTAATGAATGAACACCCGGATTTCTAACACGTAACAGCCTAAACTATGTGGCCTGAAGTTCTGGCCAGTCTCAGAGAGTGCTAAGGAGATGAGGGAGGAGTGTGAAGGCGTAGAATGGCACTGCAAATGCGAGAGAAAGCTGGGTATCTGGTGTGGGGATTACTGTGCTAACTGGTTAGGCTGAGTTAGGTTGGTTAGGTCGCTACTACCGAAGAAGTGGCTTTGTCCTGTAGTCGCCAGCACTGGGTGTTTCCTGTGGGGCCCGGATGCTGATCATGTGGTTTCAGAAAGCTCCCCCAGGGAAGAGGGTGGAAGATCAATGGAGGAAAAAAGAGCAAGCTCACCACTCCGCAGTTAGGAAAAGTTTTCTCCATTTAATACTAGACTTTCAAGGATTGAGATGCAAGCTTTTTATGCAATTACATCCAATGTTAAAATTGGTAATACATAATTTACAAAGATTAACATCAAAACAATCATCTATTTAGATATGCTTTTGTAAAAAGGAAATATATTAGCAGCATTTATATTTTCCGCAATCACACAGCCTACAGACATGCAGACTAACTCGGTATCTATTTGCAGTGATGTAGTGCTTTGCCCCGCATTTCAAACACCAAAACCCGCCTGGCAGCTGGGGGTTCTTTTTATTTCGTTATTATAAAATAACCGAAAAATAAAAAAAGGCATTAATTTCTACACCAGTAAGAAAAAACAAGTTTTTGCACTTACCTAACATTTGATTGTCTAAAAAACATTTCAGTTTTTAGTCTTTCAACAAAAGAAAGATAAAATGACAGAGCGTAGTGTCTTTTGCTTCTGTTCTCGCATTTTACAAAGTTTTTTTTATTTTCATCTTTTTTAAAATTTTAGTGTTTAACACTATTAAAGGAAACATTGAATTTTAATCTCTTTCTTGTCATTTTCTTGTTTTTGACTAAAAGGAGACCCCCAAAGTGCCCCTAGTCCCACCTCCCTCCCACCCACTCCCTGCAATGAAAAACAAAAATCACTCAAACGGGCTTGGACATGCGATTTCTGCAGCTCCACACATGAGTATCTTATACCCAGGTCTCTTAGTAATGTACAGTGCTTCTCTACAGTAAGAAAATACTCCAAACTATTTTCTTAATTCTCTTTTTTCTTTAATAAAATATTTATTTTGCTTTTTCTCTGCTCATGGGGATCTATGGCATCCCCTGCCTCTTTTTTTTTTTTTTTTCCCTCAAGAATGACACAGAAAGGAGAAAAAGAAAAAAAGATTCAATGGAATGGAAAGTGGTGAATGTTTTCTACCTAAACAAGTCAGAGCGTCGTCATCGTAAGGGAAAATGTACAATTAGGACAGCATTGGTCCAATATTAGAAAAAAGTAATGGGGACATGTTAACTATTGTATTGCTTACCAATCACGCAGCAGATATATATATATATATATATATATATACACACACACATATATATATATATACACACACAACTTGGCACATTTAAAAACCATCTTTCTTTTATAAGAACATCTAAAACATATATGCATATGTATGTCTGAAAAGACAACAAAGCAAAGCTTTTTAAATTTCATTTTTAAAGAGACAGTATAGTCTAGTAACTTCTGGTCAGGACAATGGGGAGGAAGGAGACACCCTGGATATACCTCCCGATGATAAAGTCATTCAGGAGGATGGAGGGAAGATGGAACTACGGGTGAAGAGAGAACACTGTCTCTTTAAGAGATGAACATTGAAACTGTACAATTAAGAAAACGAGTAGTGTTTTCAGTTGATAATCTACACGCACAACAAATACTCTGAGAGGTGAATACTGCTGAACAGGTTATGTAGTGACTTGTTGGGGGGTTTAGAGTTTTTGTTGTGTGGGGTTAAAATGATTTCATTGTGAAATGATTAGTTTCTGATTGCACAGCACAGCAGACACACAAAGAACCACAGCGCATCAAAAACAGCACATGTGTTGGCGGGGGCCTGGCTTTCTCATTAGAAAAAAATGTGTTCGGCAGGTTATGAAGGGTAAAACAAATACAAATAATTACAAGGTGTACTACCCTTCTGACCCCATGGGGGCCTTCCCTATCCCATGATTCCATTTTGAGGAGTAGAGGTAGGGAAAGGGGCAGCAGTTACAAGTGCTTTGAGCCATCAACTCACGTTTTCCTTTGACCTGGCTGGGCAAGACAGGAGAGAGAAACCTTCCTACTAGGGATCTGGGAAGAGGCCCCAGCTTCTGTTTCCATTTTAGGTCTCCGGGGTAGCTCTTGGAGCCAACAGAGAACAGACGGGGTAGGGCTGGGATCCCGGCTCTATCCCTTTGGATTCTGAGTTACACCTGGGCTAGGAAGCAGCTTCTCAGCAGTGCCTGTGGGATCACAGGATGACCCAGAGAAACCTAAGCTGCGGAGGCGGCCAGTGCCAACAGGGTTTGGTTGGCCCCAGTGTGGTCCTCCCTCCTTTCTACATTAGTAACCTTTAGGGTGAAGCAATGGAGAGGAAAATTAAACTGAACTGTCTTGTGCAGACCCCTTCTCTTCCTCTCCACTAGCTCCAAGGTTGATTAAGTACCTAATGTTGACAACACGGCCCCATTCCCTTTGCCTGGACGGACCCTTCCCACCCCTGTCTACTACACTCAGAGAGCAGGAGGCAGGACTGCTTAGCTCCACTGGATCTCAGACGCTTTGAGGTCTCATTCTTTGAGGATCACTTCCGAAAGCTGTTTTCTGGAATAAACAAAGTACGCCTTCGCAGCTTTCTGCCCGATCCTTCCTCCAGCAAGTAGGTCACATCAATGGCTGAAACAGAACCAAGGAAGCTCATGAAATGCCACTCTCCCACTCCTTACTCCAGATCTGAGCTCTCAGGATAGCACAGCAATGTAATTCCTTCTCTGACCTATCAGCAATTTAGGTCCTCCTCTGTCAGATGAAGAAAGGTGGTTCTCCAGAAAAGGAGATCATCTCAGTTCCCAAAGTTTTGCTC